CTCACACAGCTAAGAATCAATCAGAAAGCACAAGCCGAATCTTTACCTGCTGGACAACCTTCTGAGGATCCATGGGGACAGTACGGTTGGAAGTGAGGCAACAGCCGTCGCCGTCGGAAAAAAAACTCAATTCCAGATTTTTTAGAGGGGGAGCCAAAAACCCTTCAAAATCTTGCCCCCCCAAAACCTTCTGACCTTCAAGGGGGGGGGCGGGTTCAGACAAATACGGGGTCAACATTAAGCGATGCTTCTGTGCTTCTGCGTCTGCGTGTGCGTGTGAATGTGCGTGTCCTCGTGCGTGTGCACCTGGGCGTGCGCGTGTGCGTAGGCGTGTGCGTGGGCGTGGGCGTGCACGTAGGCGTGTGCGTGGGCGTGGGCGTGGGAGCGGGCGTGGGCGTGGGTGCACGCATGCACGTGTGCATGTTCGCGTGGGCGTGCGCGTGCGCGAGCGTGTGCGTGCGCGTGCGCGTCTGCATGCGTGCGCGTGCGCTTGCGAGTGCGCCTGGGCGTGGGCTGCTGCGTGCGCACGCCCACGCGTGCGTGCGGGGTTTGTGTTTGTGTGTTTGTGTGCTTGTGTGCTTGTGTGTTTGTGTGTTTGTGTGTTTGTGTGTTTGTGTGCGTGTGTGCTTGTGCCTCTGTGTTTCTGTGTTTCTGTGTTTCTGTGTTTCCGTGTTTCCATGTTTCTGCGTTTCTGCGTTTGTGTGTTTGTGTGTTCGTGTTTCGGTGTTTCGGTGTTTCCGTGTTTCCGTGTTTCTGTGTTTCTGTGTTTTTGTTTTTCTGTGTTTCTGTGTTATGTGTTTCTGTGTCTGTGTTGTTCTGTGTTTCTGTGTTTTTGTGTTGTTCTGTGTTTCTGTGTTTCTATGTTTCTGTGTTGTTACATTTGTGTGTGTGTGTGCTTGTCTTTGTGTTTTGTGTTTTGTGTTTGTATTTGTGCTTGTCTTTGTGCTTGCTTTGTGTTTTGTTTTGTGTGTGTGTGTGTGTTGTGTGTGTGTGTGTGTTGTGTGTGTGTGTGTGTGTCTGTGTGTTGTGCTGTTGTGTTTTCGTGTGTTGTTGTCTCTCTTTTTTTGTGTTGTTGTTCGGATCGGTAGAGGGGTTCAGGATGGGCTTTCGCACTAACTTACCCTCCAACAAGAACGGGCTCGTACGAAACTTAACCCATCAAGCTTCCATTTGCTGAAGCCCGCTGGAAAAACAAGTCCAGTAGTGATGGATTCCCTTTAAAACCAACAGAGGAGAATAAACGCACATATTCTTAAGCAACTGGAAGTCTAGGGGTTACCTGTTTTCGTCCGAGGCCTTGATCGAAGGGGTCCTTTGGTTGAGTCCCCTGATAGAACAACTCCCCCAAGACCGTCCTTTTCCCCTTTGGGGGGGTACTTGATATTAGCTTCCCATTGACCCTCTAACAACGTCTTCGAATCCCACCAACCCAAACCATCAACTTTGAGGATTGTTTTGTCGTTTCATTCCCAATTCAAAACCAAACAAACAAACCTGAGCATGTCTTGTTTTGATGACCCTCCCAAAAAATAACAACAAATAGGAGGCTTTTCCTTTGACATCCATTAAACAAACAACAAACAGAGGAACACTTCTTCTTTTTTAAGGAAGAAACCAACTGCAAAAATAAGGGTTCCCTCAGCATAAGTCCGGCTGCACCAAAACCAGCCGCCTCGCTGTCGCCGCCGCTGGAGCTCCGCCGCTCGTTGGCGGGAGTCACTGCAGCACCGCCCAGCATCAGCGCCATGCCCTCGGTCCGAATTCCGAATTCCGAGCCGAAGGAGCGGCGTCCGACCGTCCGACGCGTTGCGCCCACTAGGTCCTCCAGATTTGAGAGGTTAGAATAAGTTGGTTCCCGGATCTTTTTCTGTAGTCCATTTTAGTAGGGGAACCCTCCCCGAAAAAATGGGTAAAAGGGCTGAGTAAAGCTTTAACCTTGTGTGGGTGAAATGGATGTGGGTCAAAATTAAACCACCAGGAAATGGACCGCAGGTGTTAGTCCATGTTTCCATTTGCCAAGGGTCCATCTTGGGTACCTATTTTTGACCCACAGCCAAATGGAAACCCCACTAAACCCCGGGGGGAAAAAAAAACCTCGGGGGACGGCTGGGAACCGCTGAGACTGGCTTTTGGCAATGCTGCATCTATGGACCATGTGATGTTCGTCGATCTTTTCTTACCGACGCATTCAAATCTGATGCATTTCTGAGGTGGTTTTGCAAGTGACGAAAGGCCTTGTTGAAAAGGACAGATGCTTCCTGGTGGTTCGGTGATCCCATGCGAAAAGTTCAACTTTTAGCGAGGGATGATGTGTGATCAATCCCAGTCACAGTCCAATGGTATGGCTGGGCACTTCAGTGGAGTTGGCCACAAACATCATCAAGCAACGGGTTCGCTTGCTGCGCAACACGCGGCACTTTATAGGCCTTCCCCCAAAAAAAGAACAGAGCAACCGGTTTAAGGGAAACAATGGTTCAATGATGAACCCGATCAAAAGGGCACCCTATACTAATATGTGGGGCTTGTTTTTAAATGGGGATCCGGTAGCGGACATCTTTTTCGCGGGAACTTACTTCTATCAATCATTCCATGGCGTCTGAATTAACATCCACAGCCAGGTTCGGAAACGCACTTGTTGAACCACTGGTATTTGCATCACTGGAATCCGATTTGCCATCCAACCAGCCCACCAGATCTGGCACCCCCGTGTCACGTAGCCACCACCCATTTGCTTCCAAAAGGTCCTAGAGCCATGAGGTCACAAAGACCAAGCTTAGCACTCCAAACAATGCAGAGGTCCCTGTCGCCTCAGTTGCCCCTTAGGGACCCAGAAATAAAAGGTGATCACCTCTGGAGGCCATGACTAAAAATGGACCAACATGAAAAACTGCAAGAACATTGGACAATTCCATTGTTTTGAAAAACAAAAAAGTATTAAAAAAAAGACATGGGGAAACCAAACAACATCGGCACATCTTCAGCATTGCAGAGGCTCGGCCCGCGCGAAAAAGCACGCTGGGGCCAAGCACAGCGGAGCTCTGGTCACAGTCGATGGAGGTGCTGGGGCCTCGGTGCATCTGATCCTCCAAGTTTTCTAGGTCCTCCAGAAATGAGAGGTTATAATAAGTTGGTACCCGATCTTTTCTCCGGCTAGAATAAGGGTACTCGAGGTTTTTTCTCCGCAGTCTATTTTAGTAGGGGAACCCTCACCCACAAAAGGGTAAAAGGGCACCACTGGGGGACCTAGTTTTGGGTCTGAACTGAATGTCACTAGACGGCCCCTCCAAGAGTGAAAAGTGTCTAGGGACCAACCAGTTACCACTAGTGCATGCATAAACCCCTGACAGGTCGCGGCGCAGTTCGCCCACCCCCCCAAGCAAACAATTCCGTTCGAATCCTCAGGCGAGTCTCAACAAATGTGGGCTCCCACGGCGCAACCTGTCTTGGAACTGGACTAAGGATTCATGCTGACCTGCTTTCATTTGCTTCCTGTGGGGCACTTGGCAGGTGGGGGGCTGGGGGGTGGGGTTGGGTGGGTGGGGGGTGGGGGGTGGGGGGTTGGGGGAGCAGCCAGATCAAACAAAAACACACGGTCCAAAAAAACCTAGCCCTGCCCCTGCCAACATCACGTCAAACAAATATCCCCAATACCTGGGCAGAGGGGCATTTCGTGCCCACAGATCAGGACTAAATCATCAGCAAAGCCTTCTTGCAACAAGTTCAATGAGAAAAAAACATCGTCCATGTCAGCCCAAAACAAAATCTGACAGAAAACCCGAACAACCAAAGGCAGAAGGCACGTTGTTCAAGGGAGCAACTGCCAGCTCGGAGTCCGGGCCCATGATGCCCAGAAGGAAGGAGGTTCGGTTGGAGGTAATGGCCTGCGACGTAGGCCAATTCACGTGGAACGCAAAAGGGGGTTCCCAAAAGGAAGGTCCCTCTTTTCCATGACTGCTTTTTGGGTTCAATCTACATCTGAGGGGTATTGCTGTACACGGCTATTGCTGTATCCACTAACATAGAGTCTGACTGGGAAGTTGTTTGGACCATTTCCATCTAACAGGAACGACCCTCTGGGGAGGCTCCAGGCTAGATGACAGGGTACACGGCAAGTGTATGTCCACATCCACTGCATCATATCAATACATGGTGTGTATGCTGTACGCACACAATGCATACAACTGTGTGAAACAAATGTGAAAAGTGCCTCTGACATATGTATATTTATAATATCCTATGTATGCACACATATATGTATGTATCTCCATTTTTAACGTCTATGTTAGATATCACATTCGGGTCATCATGATTTAGGGGGGTTGATCCACAAATGGCGAATGACACAAAACTGCTTGCTTGCCCGGATGCGTTCCCTGTTCCTTGTGTCCTCCTCAAATTCACGATAGCGTACAAACGTGCTTGTCAATTGGCCATGTAACCCATGGTGAAAAACAACAACACAGAGCTCAAGCCCTTTCCCAGCCGTACCTCGGGTGGCAAGGAACATGTTTGAACCGACATGTTTGTGCCAAGCTAGAAGAAGCCACCATGTCCAAGCATCGAACAAGAAACAGCCGCCCCAAACATGCAGAGTGGTCATCAACACTTGTGTACTCGTGGTTCATCCATATTTTCCATGAATCAGCTCCAACATGTGCCTGCCTCTGCAATTGAACTTTAAAACCATTGTGTAGATAGCGAAAACCCTAGTCTCTGGATTCATATAGGGTATCCCTTCACTACTGCGGAAGGTCATCAGACTCATCTGAGCGTTCATCTGCTCGTTGCGATATTCCTACATATTGAACGTAACCACCTCTACACCACCTCTACACAATGCTATTTGTTTGGGAGAAGCAAGTGAACCTTCCTAAGGTTTGATTCCCCCTGTTTTGTTGGTTAGTTTGAAGATAAAACACAGAGACACAAACCATTTTTCGATTTTCTTGAAAAGACCTGTTCCCCTGTTCTGAGACAAACCCACTTGCTTTGTTGGGGCCTTTACTAAAATGATACAGAACCAACCACACAGTTTGGAGCTTTCCAAGAAGGTTGAAGTATAATTGCGGGTTGCCTGTTCTGGGTGTAAGTGGGCTGGGAGTATTGGAGACCCTCTTACACGAAGGTCTAGGGGTGCACAAAACGCGACCCACCCAATCCACTTGTGCTGTGAAATTGAGCTTTGGATGTCCTTGTCAAGGGCATATGTGGAACTTTGGGATCGCACACCGAGTTGTGCAACAACAAACAAAACAATCATTTTTCGGTAGTGGATTCTGACGGGAACCCCCCCTTTCAAAATAATAACAAACCAGAAAAACAAACCAGTGGTATCCCGAACAGCCCCGAAACCCTGGAACATGCCCCAAACCTTGGGCAACGACCCCAAAGCTTCCAGGAGAAAATCCAATGGCGCCGCTGAATGTGTCTGGAAGCGGGCCCGCCACTCTTGGGAACTGCCCGCCTGGGAACTGCCCGTTCCAGAGCACGCGCCAGCCTGAAGCGGATGCAAGCGGATCCAAAGGCGGAGTTCCTTGCACCTCTTGTTAGTTCTTGTGAGGGGTATCCACGCGGTCATTGGACTCACTTGTTTCAATGCTGTCACGGTCGAAGGCCACGGGAAGGATTCTCAAAGGAGCAAGGGAAGTGGTTGGCGAACCCGGTGGGGCCCCTTTCCAATACACTTCCCCTTTGTTGGCACACGCGAAACAACCTATGGACACGGGGGCGGCTACGCAGAAGTTGTGGATGAACACCCTTTTCGGTGGGTTTGCGTAAAGAATTGAAAGGGCGGCCGCACCCATGTTGCCCCTTTCTACCCTCCAATTGCCCGGGTTTTGATTGTGGCTCGAACTACTGACCAAAAAGCAGCGGGGGTGCGGGTGCTGGAACATGCAGGTGGTTGGTAAATCCGAATGTGGCTCACCTGAAAGAAAAGGACATGGTCTGAAGCACTTCCTGCTCGCTCCATGCGTGTGCTTGGGCAGCCTCCAGGATTTGCACATGTTGAGGGTGGACAAGAGTGTCACCGTTCTCCGGAAACATTATAAGACGTCATGTTTAAAAAAAACAAAAAACACGGGACAAAACACTATTTCTTAGAGGAATCGTTGTTTGTGTTGTTCTTTTCTTTTTCTTTTTCTGGGGCCAGAAGTGACGATAGTACAGTGCCTGGGCGTACCAAATCCCCCGGTGCCAACCCTCGCAGCAGTCAGGCGGCTTTGGCGGGACTTCAGCGAGCCTCCTTGTCGATGTAGTTCCACTCCGGGTTGGTGCCTCAGCTGACAACCAGCTGTTGCCTAAGGGCAACAGCATAGATGCCTCAAATGGACATACCCCACCCATAGGCCTTATATAAGGATGGATTTTAAGCTATGTACCCCCCCGTATACCCCATGAATAGCCCATGTATAACCACTAATTTTGGGGTATGTCCATTTGGGATATGCAAGTTGGACCTTGAATTTTGCCAAAGAATGGTCTGGTCCATATTTGAAGCACATCTGAAATAACGTCCAAAGAGATTTTCGGGTTGCTCTTCAAGGTGCACTGGGACAAAGGGGCTCAGCCTTCAAAAAAACAAACGTCTAAGGTCCAAACAGCAACAAAAACCCTTCCGGAAACCTCCATGACAGCTGCTCCGCACCATCCTAGAGCTGCTTGGGGCAGAGACCCCCTGGGGAGCGTGACGTCCTTCCAGTTTTTCGTCCATGACTGAAACCAAGAGTGCTTGCACGAGGGCTGGCTTTGACACAAGCAGTTCAGCGCCCATGAGAGGTCAATTCCGGGTTTCGACACACACACACACACACGATATGAATATGGTTGAGTTTTGGGGAACCAGCGCCCAAAGGGGTCCAAGTTGGTCACGGGTTCAGACAGGCACGTACACGATCCGCCTTTGATAGCCGCGCATAGATGGATTTCAATGCAAGGCGTATCTTTCCAATAATCGTCCTAAAATATTGGTCCTCAACTAGAATGACCGACTTACACTGCGTTTCCCAGAGTGTCATCTGAAAACAGCAGCTCGCCGAACCCGAAGTAAAACACTGTACAGTGCGTCACAATGTCAACACCTGGCACTAAATGAGTCTACCCAAAGTCACGTGACTTGCCAAAACAGCTTCTTGCCCCACCCATTTACGTGAGCCGTGCTGTATAATTCAAGCGTAGGGCGTGTCAGAAAACGGGGCAAGTGCACAGCGGTCAGCTCGTCAATTCCCGAAGCTAAGCGTGGGACTTCTTTTTGCTCAGGGTTCCACAAGAGGTCCCACTCCACCGACAGGAACATTAAATTGGCCAAACAGGTGATGCTCAAAGCAAGGGGAACTGTTGGAGAATGCCTTCTTAACTCAACCAACAACCAACAACCAACAACAACCAACAACAACCAACAACAACCAACAACAACCAACAACAACCAACAACAACCAACAACAACCAACAACAACCAACAACACCCAACAACCATCAACCAACAGCCAACTCCAAGAAGGACGGCTGGTGTGTATTCTCAAGGCCGCACAGTGTCAGAGATTCGATCTCTTGAGAGGCGTCGCCACCGCCCCGGTTCTCAACCAAAAAGATGTCTGGCTGATTCACCTTCAGTTTGGTGTGGTGGTTCCTGGTCCCTTCAAACCCCAACCTGGGTCCAAAATCAACGACGCACCTACGTGACAAAGGTCCCTGAAAGTGACATTCTCAAAATTCCCTTTGGGTGCTGAGCATGCGAACAATAGAATCCGGCTTTATCCTTTTGGCGTCCCTTTGGATAAATTACACATGGGCTATTTCGCACCTAGTTTAAAGCAAAACCACCTCCAAAAGAGAACTCAAAGAACTTGACACATCACCACTACCGAGGAAACGTCAAAACTCACCAAACACTGCCAAACACGCCAAAAGGTGTTGGTTTTACGACCAGCAGGTAAAATGGGCTTCAAAATAGGTTGTTTCCCTTTGGTTTCCACTGAAACCAATTCCAAAGAGAGTACCCTCCAAAAAAAGAAGCGCACGCAAACACACAGATCCCAGTGACAAATCGCCACAAGTGACGTGACAACTGGGGTGCCGGGCAGCCGGTAAAAACCGCGATGTACTTTCCCATGAGAGCCTGGATCGCACGAGCGCAGGGTGAGTAATGTTGATGGGGGTGCCTTTACTTAGGGGGCCCGGACCCGAATGCCGAATGGCATTGGTTTTCCTTTTGGTCCCTTGGGGTTCCAAAGGGGGTGCCCTCAAACGAAGACACACCAGCATGGGCTAAAGTGGTTGGTTCCCTGTTGGTATCTCTTTCAACAAAAGGGGGTCCACAAATTTGAGAGACACTCATCTGTCCCCGTCCAAAAGGACGCTTGTTTCAAAATTACCCGAAAGGGGATGCTAAAATCAACCAGAAAGGGAAGCATATAGTGGGTTTTACTTGTTGTATATTTTTTGTTGGGGCGGTGCTAAGCCCCCACTAAAAGTGGCAGCCCCTATTAATCAACCAGGGTTTCTTATCAGATTTGGGATTCCCATGAAGGTTGGTTGGTACCATGGAAGATGCCCCCCCCCCCAAAAAAAAAAAAAAACACCTGGAAGAGGTCAAGGCGGAAGGCGAACCTCATCCTAAGACTATGTATAATTTAGTCTCAGCCTCTAGTACAGTTGGATGAGATTCATCTCGGCACAATCGCCCAGAACATAAAGCCCCTTGAATAAAACACATACATCTTGATACACCGCAGTTGTCTGTACATTTTGCCTCCGGGCGTAGGTACATCCCGCCCAGGCACCTTTTTCGGGTAGTCGATTTTGAAGGGAAACCCCTCGGCAAAGGAAAAATGGCCACACCGGGTGCCTGGTTGCTGGTCGTTTGGCAACTTGAACATCAGCGCGCAATGGGTTGAGTCTTCCCGGGATCAACGAGGGCGTGTCTTTCAATCAGGGCCGGCGCCCTTCTTGGGGGTTCAACCGAAAACGACAGGACAACCATCTCCACTCTTGGTATGGTAGCAAAAAACTTTGTTTGTTGCAGACCCCCAGTAAAAATGAACAGAACCAAAAACTACAAAACTAAAAAACATGCCAAGAACAGTGAAGCGTTCAACCCAAGCCATTGGGTCTGCTAATAGACGGATACCGCCAGGGCCATAACGAATGAATCAAGAGGAGGACCCCAAGTGCTGGCGAATCCAAACATCGGTGGAGTGGCCAAAGTCGAAACTTCGGCTTAAATTAGTCCAAAGCCTAACAAGCATCGGGCAAGTCTCAACTTTTGGCATACAGCACTGATCCAAACCCTACAACGGCGACTAAAGCACAGCTCGGGGAGTGAGGCAACTGGTTTTTTGATGGCGAGCAGGTCCTCACTTGCCCGGTGTTCAAAGACGGTGAGCTGTGACAAAACTCAGGCGCTCAAATGGATATGAATGTTCCGCGGTATATAAACAAGGCGTCTGCAAAAAATCAAGAATTACCCACCCTCTTTGGGCTTCGCTGGGGAAATTAAGATGTGCGAATGGCACCCAGGTTTGGTTGGACTCTCGGCCATGGGGCTTTTGGTCCAGCCTTTTTTGAGGGTTCTCTACAACTAGCCCAATGGGACCATTCCGCGCTTGGGATCAAAAGGAATCAACAGGAGAAATAATCACACGCCTTCCCATGTAACCATAAAATAATTTGGTTGACCCCACAACAACATTCCAAAGGAGAAAACAACAGTCCAGAGGAAAACCATTCAGGCCCTTACTGGTACACTTGGGCGAATGTTTTTTGTTGTATCTCTCCCAGGTCTCAAACCAAAAACCCTATGCCACCGAGTTTTGGCAACAGGCGCGACCCCACGTGCATGGCTTGCGCTTTGGCCCCCGCAAAACCCAGGACTTGACGGAGCCAACGTGCCGTTGGCCGTCCGCTTCCCTGCTGGCGGCTTGGAGCCCGGAGATTGGGGGGCTTATGTCAAGAACCAGGGCTTCAAATCCAAACCAAGACCACCAACTGGAGATTACCTGAAACATAGAAGCCTATTTTGCATTACTGACCCTGGAAACCATGAACACCCTCGACATCTGGGATCACTTAATACCTAAATACTTACATGGCAAGCTCGTTTTGCCCCGGTGAGCTTGCCACACAAGACGCAGACGCTTTACATGGGGGTGTATGTCCATCGACCTTCTTTTGAAGGAGTTCCCAATTAAAATCGCTGAGCACAACCACGAGAAACCAACAGAGAAACAAAGAAAGGGCACCATATGTATATGTATATAAGTCTACATATATATATATATATACATATACATATATACTGAGACAGTAGCTTCGTGTGTTGCTCACCATAATTTGCCACGTCTGGAAGTTACTATGGTCCAAACTCTGGCACAAAAACTGCAGGATGCCTTTGCCGCTTCGGGCAAAGTTGAGGCGGGAGCTCCTAAAATGGCGCATCCCCCTTTGGAGACCCTCTGTTCAACATCGTGGACAGGGAGGTATCGAGGTTCCCCAAAAGGAAAGCAGACTTTTGCTGCGACGTTGGTTACCGCACTCTCAAAAGGCCTGGCAAGAGAAGTTAAAGTTCGCAGTCATCGTGGTAAGGTTCATCACAGAGATATTCTGCATGGTCATAACATTGGCCAACCACATGGGCAGCAGTGCCAGCCAGCTTACCCAGAAACTGACAGTTTGATTCTCCACCCACTTCTTGTGGTCGTAGAAGCACTGCTGCGCAGCAATCGGGGTATTGGGATCTGAGGGAACCACGCAAGGCCCTGAGATGCATGATGTAGACGTTGCGCTGAAACCCCAAGCGCAGCCGGTCCAACTGTCTGTGAAGGTACCGCCCCACAACAAGCAATAGGCGGGCTGGAACGCTCCGCACTGTGCACCGCTTTGTTGAGTCTGCTGTGTCATAGCTGCCATCCGGGCCTTGTAAGCCTGAGTAGCAGCTTGATAGACAGCTTGCGCGTAGCACGCCGTGATCGTCTGGAAGACATACTTGTCACCGGCAGTTCGATAAGTGGGAAAGCCGATCAAGTTGCTCATCACACCAATGTGCAAACTCGCAAAGTGAGCCAAATAGGCCCCTGCAGTGGTGTTGATCGCGTAGCCGGTCTTGAACAAATTGATGTTACCAAGCATAGCATTGTGAACATTGGCGAGCTCGGTGTACATCCTGTCCCTAGTGGCGTTTGACATATACTTCACCGTCCCGTTTGGCCAGTGTACAGAGTTTAGGTATGCCGTGGTATTCAAAGCCCACAATCTCGACTGGTAGCCCAGAATGGTGGCTTGCCACAAGCTCTCAAACGCCTGATTAAATTGCTGCGATACAAAGGTCTGCACGAAAGGCAAGATCTCTTGCCAAACGCACTTGCCCCAATCCGTGGACGTGGCGAAGGTGCAGGGATTGCTTGGAAGCCCTGCTGCACCTGGGAAGAAGTTATTCAAGATATTGCCGATGAAGGAGAAGGCGATGGATCCTTGGTTGCTGTTGACCCCCTGCAAGAAGTTCAACTTTTCTTTGGGGGGGAACACCCTTGATTCCCAAAAAAACAAAGTCCAAAAAAACCAACCCAGTAGCAGTCAAGGATCCCTGCAGCGCGATCACCGCAGCGCTTTTCAAGATTTCTTTCAGGGCGTCCACTGCAGTTCGTGCCACAGACTTCTCAGCGGCCAGCGCGTACTTTGCGGCCGGATTCTGCCTGGGGGGTCAGAGTGTGGAAACATCGAACAAATACAAATCCCCTTTGTTTTCATTTTGGACCTCGGGGTAAATCAACAAAATAATGCGTTATTTAGCGCCCGGCTGCTTTGAGACATAGGTGGCCACATCAACGGCGCATTGTTGAGCTGCTGGGCAAGCAAAGGGGGCTGCCAGCCCGCCTTCACTTCGCGAACTGCCCATCTCGAAGAGGTCTGTCTTGGATGACATGGTGTTTGTCTCCTTTGACGGTAGCTCCTTGGATGGCTTGGGATCACTTTCGACCTTTGGCAGTACCTTGGATGGCTCGGGAGTTCCATCATTTGATGATACTTCCTGCACTTCCGGGTTTTCTGGGCAGGGAGCCTTGGCGACATTTGACTCAGCGGGTGGCTTGGGATTCAGCACCTGCAGACTTCCTTGACACACTGCTTGCAACTGGACCTGGATAGCGCTCAGCTCTGGGTACGATGACACCGGCCAATCTGACGTCATCATCGTCGCGTAGTTGCACGCCATTTGTTGGGCTTGGCAACCCAAGTCATAGAGAGCACAAGGGGTCTGTCGCAGAGGCGGACCAGGCCATGGGTTCGGGACCTGGCCCAACATGTTTCAACAGGGTTAAAGAATTCGGGGACGTGTTTATTAAACAACCACCTCCTCGCTACCCTTAGTGGACCAGTGGTTGGTTGAAAAAAAAAAACGCACACACACACAATTTGCTCCACGCCTGGCGTGCCTTTGAAGACTGCAGACAGCTAATGGAATCCTCGGCCCCTACCTGGCCCATGAGGAAGAGTGTTGCCCACATCATGGCCGAAGAAGCCCTCTGCTGCTTTCCAACTTTTGGGCCAACGGCTGAGTTCCGTATGAACACAACGCCCGCTCTTTCATGTGCAAGCAGATCAATTCGATTCGATTGCAAGAAGTTCCGAGGATGCGCGTCCAATAGAACTCCAGCCTTCTTGTTGTAGCCTGCGTTGAAGAGAGCCTGCATCGCAACTCGCGAGATGCTCTTCTGGGCACATTTTAGCGCTGCCGCAAACCCATTGACTTTGGGTTCTGCGCAAGATGGATGCCAAGGGTTATGGAATGTTACAGGGCATGTGTCAAAAAAGGGAGACCCCAAAATGCTGGTGTTCCTTTTGCCTCCCTATCCCAAAGGGTGCCCTCAAAAGAGCTCACAGCCAGCAAATCGTACCAGATGGTAGAACCACCACCAGATCTTCTGGTATCCTCTTTGCATTTCCCAGTTGTTGTTTTCAGGCAGGCTTCGAATGTTTGATCCCATCGCTGTTGGATCCATCATTTTGAAAAGGACTGGGCAGAACTGGGGAAGCCAAACGTTTGCTTTCAACGAAAACCACTGGGGCTGACTTCGAGAACAGCAACACCATCGCAACACCCCAAACAGGGGCCCCTGGAAGGAAACGTCCCGAACTTTCCAGTGGTTCCCTTTCAATTCAACTTCCCCCAATGGCACCGTGGAATCCATCTTGCCGCTCTTGACCCCGAGACTCTGCAGCCCTTCAGGCGAAAACCGTGGCAGCTCCCACCCCTTGCAACGAGGACTTTCGTAGGGGGTGGCTTCTGCGATCGGGTGCTTGTCAATGGAAATGCCATGGTAATCCTGTGATCATTCGAGACTTTGGTGGGCAAGACGTTAGCAGCTGAAAGACAGGAGCCGATCGGGGGCTACACTGACCCGATCTGCAAAACCGATGGAAGGACCACCCAAAACCGATACCCTGGTAAATGAGGTCCGTTGCACATAAACATGAATTTGAGCATTTGGCCATTCACAGCTGTAACATGCAGGTGACAAGGTTGAATGCTTGAACAGCTTCCCTGTGAAGTCGATGCTAGTACCTCCGAATGGTCTATGAATGTGTGATGCTTGGCCCAAATCATTGTCATCACATACTGGGATGGAGTTAAAGGATGCACGCACATGTCCCATGGCCTGGCTAGAACAAAGCTCGGGATAGACCATCCAGCTGTCCGTGCTCTGCCAGTTGGCTCTGCTTCAATCTGAGAGACACACACACACGCACATCAGACGAGAAGAAGTTTCCAAAAGCAAGTCATAGATTTCCACCACAAGCCGACTTGCCATGCAAGCGGCCCACGCCCATCAAAATTAGTGGAGCCACCTGCTAAAATGGGCAGCAGGGCTTTGGGCGCAGCTGAATTGCCCGTGTTCGAACATCTTCGATTCAACCATCCTCACTAAAAACGTGCAGGACAAGTGTCTCCTTAAGAGAACACAAGGGGTGAATCAAGGCCCGAAAAAGAAAAAGGAACAAACAAAAAAAACCTTAAAAAAAGCGACCCTTTCTAGTTGTTTTTTTCCGCATTTCTGGGACCCTAGCCAGCATCCCTCCTGTGACATCTGTTGGCCTTCGCCTGTCAAAAGGTCACCAGCGGTCGACTGGGCCCACCTCTCGTTTCACCCCTTGGCTTTGTCTAACTCGGTTGCTCAAAGACCCAGAAATGAAAGGTTAGCCGGCGAAGGTTTTTGCACCTTAACGAAACATTGCTACCAGCCAAAGCAGCCACCAAATTCACACACACATAATGCCACACTCCCAAAGAATCCCACACACACACACACACATGAGCACATACACAATCGGGCACACAAACCATTGATTTGCGCACACGCGCACACATGATGTCAACATACGTGGATGGACGAAATCCTGCACCAATTGGAAACCATGGCAAACCATTGTTTGTTTGTATCTACAGGGAAATCATCATTCTAGGGTTTCTTAGGTGGCGCGAAATGTATTTCGCCCATCCACAGTGTGGCCATCGAACCATGGCAAGCGCCAGGCCGCCACTTCCCATGAGGCACTCCGCCTCATAGCTGGTCTCCAGGACATGTCTCTGCATGGGGTCCATTCCCTGGGCCTCCATGTTGGACCTGATCGAGTCAAACCTCTCCCCTTGTGCGCAGTCAGTTGGGGGAAAAAAAGGCGCAGAGGTCCAGCCAACAGGTTTCAAAAGGTCGACTTTGGACAAGTGAGCACCGGTTTCTGGCTGCCTTACCCTGAAAAACCCGGAAGGCGGACGTGACTCATTTGGGCCCCATGGCTAAAATCACGACCCAGTTCTTGAACATCATCCACTGGGGCAACATCCCATTTTGGGGTTTTAAAGGGAATCAAAGGGACGCTTCTTCTTCGGGTCCTCCATTCAATATTTAGAAATGCATGTTGCAAACCAACAATTAAAGCAGCATCAGAAAATACGTGTTTTTCGCGGTAGCCTAGATCTGGGCCAAAGTATGACACAGGACATTAACACAACGTTTCCACGACTGCAAGATCTCGGACAACCTCGTTAGCCTATAAATAAGTGGAGGCGCATGGGGTAGAATGCGGATATTTCTCACGGGTATCATTTTCCGGAGACCCCAGAAATGGTCAACACCCCCCCAACTAAAACTTTGTGATAAAAATGGGCTAGGGGTCAGGGGAGGCGCAAAAGGGGCCATTTAGGGTACCGCAAAAAGCCAGCCCGAGAAACAGTCAGTGCATCTCTCTCGCAAGCTACGGCATCAAAGGCCCGGAGTCGTCTGGAGGGTTCCGCGGTTGATGCAACCGGGGCCTTTAGAGGTATGAAGCGGAATTCCCCCCCGTTAGGCAAACATAGTGAGTGCAAGTCAACTCAGATCGGGATTCCTTTTAAAGGTTGGCTGACAGAATGGGGGTAAAGTATTTCTGTGCCAATACGAGCGCGGAAACGCAAGTCTCTCGTGACAAATCGAGAACACGAAATCCAATCGGGAGATGTCGCTTTTGTGCCGAATGTGTGGCCGCCGGGGGGTTCCAAGGGTCCTGACAGGTTTCCTCAGGCCAAGGGTTGCATTGTGGGGAAAAAGGACTGACTGGAGGGTGAGTCAACATCAAACCACAGGAGACTATCCCAGGGTACAAAAACGAGTTTTGCTTGTTTCTTCTTGCACTCAAATCTATGGTTCGGACTGCCTCTCAATCTTCTTGGTTTGATTCTTGCAGAACAGTCCATTCCGTCCCAGCGAAGCGCAGGGGTGTTTTCGTGGGGCTGTTCCAAATAGAGCGATGGAATTCCCAAAGCCCCATCAGGACAAGCTCTTAGAATGCTTGTTCGAGTACTCGGAACCTATCTGGAGGGTATGGGGATGATCTAGTTAGCTTCCCTCCAATTGGTTTGGATTGGCTCCCCTTTTACCCTCCACCAGAACCGGGGGTTCACATCCCCGAACCACCAACGAAGGAACCAGTGCTAAGGTTTGGGCCCGCAACACCCTTTGGGCGGGAGGGAGGGGGGGAATTCTGATGGTATTTCGGCAGGGCCGGTTGGTGTTTTTAGTATGTCTCTTCAGGGAACCAGAACAGCCATTGTCTCCCTGGAGTATAGAACACCTGTTGAACCAATTGGGTCTCTTTAGACGGGTAGTTCACCACACTTTTGGCTGGTTTCCTAGGGGCGCGAAAAGGAAGCCACGCTCACCCGAGGCCCCGTGCACGCCAAAGAACTTGTTGTCGAAGAGATCGATCCCTGCGAGCTGGTGGCTGAAAAAAATGGTAGGCGTAAAAATGGCAGTGGCTCAAACAACCGGTGCCCAAAATGGAAACCTGGCAAGTGGAAACATGGCCCAAAACCTGCGTAACCCCTCCTGTTTAATTTTGAGCCACACCCAAATAGGGCCTCCCAAAATGAAAAAAGGCCAAACTGTGCAAGGGATTGGTCGACATTGAACCAACGTAAGCCATATTGATGACCACATAATGTGTAAATAGTTAGCCCATTGGAGAAAACCCACCCCGAGTAATTCTGCCTGTTGCGTGCATGCGGAGTGAGTTCCAATTCCAACCTCAGGGCTATGCGAAGGCTTACGGATCTGCGCAGACTGCGCAGGCACGCGACCATAGCCTACACGGAGGTGGTGCTCTGAAAGTCCTATGAGCACTAACAAACAAAACGACAACGCGACTCAGCAAACTATCCTGACCAAGTCACTTCCTGAGTAGCCCTGCCAAAACGAGTCCATCCCGTTGCGCTCACCACGAAATGCATAGTGAGTGACTCTCTCAAAACCTCTGGAACGTGGTTAAAAGGAAACACCCCCTAGAATTATTTGGGCACCCTGTCGACATCAAAATTCGTTTGTCCACCAAGCACGGGGGTTCCAAAGCCGAAACATGGCAAGTGACGGTCGCTTGCCTTTGGCCCCGAGGGAGACTTGTGAAAAGACACCCGCATTGACCATGGGTCGGTCTCGACATGGGTCACACGTTGGCATTTCAGTCCGGTGGAGGGGATGGTCAAATAGGACGAAAGACGGACACGAGTGTTCCCAAAACTCTTTAATTACAGCCATGTCATGGCCGCAAAGATTTTCGGGAAACACTCCTGTACGTATTTGATCGTACGCTCCGCTTGCAGACCGAAATGGCCGCGGTGCATCGGCTTTTGCCATCTTTCACCCAGAAGTACACTGGGCAATTTCTGGGCCAGCTGAAAATGAGGCATACCCATGAAGGAAACCTGCATGATGGGTCTCGCAAATTGATGCAACTTCCCTTAGTGACGTTAGAATTTGCCCAGGCAACTCCTCCAGCCACGCGTTCTGGGTTTATGTCATTATGTCATGTTGCGCGGCCGCCTTCGATGAACTGCCCGTGATTCACACTCGTCCTGAGCTGCTCAGCAGGAGCCGTGTAACATAGGCGTCTTCTTTTTGTTTGAGGATACCATGTTCAAAGTCAAAGGAAAGCTAAAGGGAAGCCAAAGGCCATGCTGGATCATGTAAGTTCCCGCTTT